TGCAAAAGAAAAATACGTAATATAATTTCTACTGCTAAGTAATTGACAGCTTCTGGGCAGAAATACGAGCGACTGAAAAGAATTAAAGGATTTTATAAAACGAAGCTTCGACCTAAAACCCCTCTTGAGTTTGGAAATAAACAGTTTACTCGTTTGTAGAAGCGTGGATAAACACTTACTTGCTTCCGTCCGATGCCAGAAATGATACGTGATGTTAAGTTTGACAAGATGAAAAACGAAAGAGGGCTTTCAAAGGAGAAAACACTGTGTTAGGGCTAAAATTGTGACAAGAAAGTCACTGAGGTAGAATTTCTCTAAGCTTGTGATAATTTCAAAAAGTGCGCCGTTTAAAACTTATGCTTGCACGTGGGTTATTGCGCTCTTCCCTGAGTGGCTCGTCTGACTGCACGGGTTTTTAGCGTGCATGATTTTTCTAATTAGCACCATTCATTAGAGGCACGTTTTGTTAAGGTAAACGCAAACGGCAAATTAATATCTGGGTTATCCCATGTTTTCATCCAAGAAAAAATACAGAAGGGCCTCGCAATGAGTACAAAAGTTTTTCGCAAAATGCAGAAACTGATAGGGAAGTAACAAAACATCAATTTTTGTCGTCGTCCTTCGTCGTGGGTTAGGGAGCTATTCCCTGAATGGCTCGTCTAACTGCACGGGTTTTTAGCGCGCACGATTTTTCTAATTAGCACCATTCATTAGAGGCACATTTTGTTATGGAAAAACGCAAACGGCAAATTAACATCTGGGTTTTCTCATTTTTCGTCCAAGGAAAAATACAGAAGGGCCTCGCAATGAGTACAAAAGTTTTGCAAAAAATGTAGAAACTGTAAAGGAAGTAACAAAACTTCAATTTTTGTCGTAGTCGTTCGCATAAAGACGATCCCTCTATCAAAATAACAAAATATGATGTGAAATAAGCCATAATTATTATTTTTCACGGGCTTTAAATATATTTTTTTCTGTTTAGTCACGGCTGAAATGATAATAAAATAATCGACGGTAAAATTTCCGCACAGCCCAATACTATTTTAAAACAAATCTGCCTTCCCAATGGCAATGTATTGTTTTTGTCATTGTTTCCTTTATCCAAAAACTGAATGCATAATGTAATATGGGGCTGTGCGGAAATTTTACCGCGCTATTTACCGGATAAATCGCTATCCGCTGGTTAAGTGTTAACCAAATATACACGCGATTTTAAGCGCTTTATTTGTATGAAACTTTTGGACTTTCTAATAGCGCGAGGCTCACATCTGTGAGTGTTATCTTAGCCCTTTAGGTTATCTCTAAATTAGCCGTTAGTGCTTCACATTGTTTATTACACGCGGTCATATGTGCGTCTATCCCGCATAGAGCTCAGGCGTGTTATCAGCTCCCAAGGTCAAGAAAATACAACCAAACGAGAAAGTAAGTGCTAAGCTTTTTGGCATTAATAATGGTTGGTGAAGTTAGTAGACGTTGTAACAACAAGGTAGTGGTAGATTAAACAAGAAGCTATTGTGATCCAGGACTCCTGGTTCTCTTCCCTCAGCGAGGTTAGTTGCTCAAGCTATCTGCCCCCAACGTTCCAACACTTTAGGGATTTAAGGTGTTTCAGACCAAATAGATATTCGGTGTTATTTTTGGTCTCTTTGGGACCAAGTAAGGAAATGTAATGGGGGGACTCTTTTGCGTATCATCCAACAGAAGGTACAACCTGGCTCGTTGGTACAAACGGATCACTGGGAAACCTAACAGCAGTTGCAGAGAAGACTCGGTTTGCACCGCAGAACAATAATTCATTCTCTGCTTTTTGTTGACCCAAGAACCGGTGCCCATACTCAGAACGCGGAAAGCAACTGGTGCACAGTAAAGGACCAGTCCAATAGAATGAAGGATAACACAACCGCTAAGTTCCTTTTTGAATACCTACAGGAAATGGTATGGCGCTCCTCACCCAAATGGATACTTTCACCGATTGCTAGATAACATCGCAAAACAAAACCTCCTTTAGAAAATACAAAGGAAATAGCATTAAATTTGTAAAAGAAATCGGCTTTTTTTTAGCTGATGTATAAAATTTCTTATCAGTAAAGGGTTTAGTATAGAATCAAGTACGCGTTTTGTAAGTAAGTTTCCGAGAAAACCAGGTCCCAGCTTGTGCTCCGCTCGTGAAGGAACCAGCTTTAGAATATGACTTTAACTTGGCGACAGCCAAGCCATTTTGCAACAAGGTCATTTCGTATTTTCAACAAATAACGTAGATTGGCCACCGTAAAGAGTTTAAAAGGTAGCGTTTCGAGCGTAAGCCCTTCGTCAGAATGAGTTTTCTAAATATACCACTGGCATTAGACTCAAATTGGTGTCTCAAAAATACAGAACCCCAAAAACTCCTGCCTAAGAATAATTGAGTTTATTATATGAGGGTCTCCAATAGGTTTTTCGGGATTCGGGATCAGGGTTCTTTAAAGTCCGGGATCCGGGAATTTAAAGTAGGAAGGGAGCGAGATGCGGGATTGCTATTATGAACGGGACACTGGTATCGGCGATTTTTAGGAGCGGGATTCGGGAAATAATCACGAACCTATGACCGGGTCGTCCGTTGACGAGAATCTATGAAGAAATTAATCTTCTCAGTCATGAAAAGTACCAGGTATGCAGGCTCTCCAGCATTCAAGAGGCGGTCGGGCTGCTCAGCGACACTATTCAGTTATTGCGCGAGAATGAAAATTATATCAGAAGCGAAGTTGCCAATTTATCAACAATCCTCAATGGCCCACAGGGAAAAGTAGTCTAAGACTGCTACGCTGACTGAAATGCTTAACGGCGTTGAAAAACCTCTTGCAAATCTCAGAATTATACCGATATGATGCTCTTAACCTGTTGAGTTACATGACACTAGATGTGAAGAATATTAACTCGGTTGTGCATCACAAAGATAAACATTTACAGTGTTGGACTACCCAAGGAACTATGTAAATGGAGCCCAAGGCTTAATGAGGACAACCCATTGGGCGGCGTAGTATTTAACAAATCCAAATCCTTGGTATCCTGTACCCGAACGTGCCAGGATCCTGTCGGCCATACCAGCAATTCAACCGTTACCACCTGTGCTGATGGCATCACAGAGCATACAGAAGATGAGGGATTAAGCGTAAACATTTGCTGCAGCAGTGCGTCAGCTCTCTGTCAAACAGGAAACAACGACGGCAAGAGCTCGAACTTCCCGTCGTACCTTTATCATAGAAAAATTCAGTCGGTCGAACCGGTCAGCCTCGAACGCTCTGACTTCGAGGGGCAGCAAGAAAACAGCGGGAAACAAGACGAAGAAGAAGATGGAATGTTGGAGTACGATTCCCCGAGTGATGATGACATTCCACCTGTGGAATGAGAGGCTTATTTTTACCTCGGAAGAGATTCCCGCCTTGGAAGAAGTATCCACTTCAACAGCAGAATTGTGTTCAGTTATTTTTTCTTAATTTCCGTTGTTATGAAACCATGGGATTGCCGTGACCTTTTGTGTTTTATGCACTTGTTGAAATTGTTATTTGTTTCTTTGATACTGACCTGCCTTTATCCATATGTTTGGCCGTGATCGAAGTTTAATGAAAGGAAGTCGTTACCGAGACTAGCGTACGTTATTCGTGCAAAACTTTGAAAACTTCTAAAATGAACAATATCATCCTTTTGGTGAAAAGAGATAAACTCGCGCCTTACGGTGACTATAGACGTCAACGGATCAATGCTGGCTAAGAAAATCATCACCCACCGGAAAGGCCCTTCTAAGTTTAGGAAATGGGCTAAGACAAAATTGTATGATCGGGATCGGGATTGGCCGGTATAAACCGTCGGGATTACGGGATTGAGAGAAAATTTTAGTCGGGATCAGGGGATTGAAGAACCCTATTTAATTGGGGACCCTCTTAGTAGTTAATTTTCGTGTTCTCGCTCTAAATTTTTTTCTTTTTTGTCTGTTTATTCACGGCTGGAACGAAAGGAAAATGATCGACAAAAGCTGTAAGAAAAATTAAAACTTAAAATTAAAACTGTACAGTAGTTGGGAGCTCAACCATGGAAGATTCTCCCTTCATTTACGTTTGATATGAGGGTGGCAAAGAGTTTTTGTGTGACGCGTGATGGCCCCAAAATTTGCAGGGTGACACATGATTTGCTATTTTACAAGCGTGTGACGCTTACGTGCAAAATGTTCTTATTTCAGAATATATAGCGTTGTAAATTCCCCTTTTCTTCGATTCCCATGCCATTCCTTTTTAAGCTTTTAAATTCTAAACAGTTCCTCGCGTAACTTTGAATGCCTCGCACACTGTGAGACGCTTTCATGAATAAATACACAATTGTCTAAGAATTAACACTAACCTTTCACTTTCCACAATAGTGGAGGATCGTAAACGAGATATTTTCAATGAAAATTTAACTCCAGTGTTTCGGTGGCAGTTTCGCATTCGCATGACAAAAAAATGAATAAACGCCGCGGCCTAGCGCAAAAATTTCGACATACAAAAAGTCAGTCGAAAAACCGATTAAAATAATTTGTACGATCGATTAAAAGCTCCATTCACCAGAAGTGTTTATTATAACGACCAACTCCCACCCCTCCCTGCGTCGTAATATTCCCTCTCTCATCCCTCCTTAGGTGATCACACTCTGCTTCCCACCCCTCCCTCGGTACTGATATACGGCATCCCACCCCTCCCTGAATACTAATGGTGTGTTTTCCCCCGCGACAAAATGGTCCAAAAAGAACTGGTCTAAAAAATAGTCCAAAAATTCGTCCAGTCCATATTTTACCCTATGCCCCCGAAATGTGAGCTTGGGACAGCTGTGGTTAGTTGAACCGCACTAATGCCAATTTCGAGCCCAAGATCATGTTGGCTTCCTGTCAGCGGTATGGTCGCCAAATAATGTCGATTATGGTTGGTATGTCGTGTACGGGGAATTATTATGTTCTCCGTTCATGTTATGTCTTTTACATACAAAAAGTAATAATTCCCCATACATGTGGTACTTAGGAACGGAAGCCAACGTACCGCGCCCGCGAAAATTTGGAACTTTGTAAAGTTTATCACATGAACTTGATATCCAGTGACCATGGCAGAGGATACTACCTCAGTCTCTAAGGTTCATTGCTTTTAATTAAGAATTTTTGAGATTAAGTTTGATTTTGACTTCTTTAAATAAGTCATGGGTTGTTTTGAACTTTAGGGCTGCTTTCTGATCAAGAAATCATCGGCTCACTCTCCAAGAAAGCGTCGTGCAGGTAGTCTGGATAAGCGTTCATGTCAAGCATGTCACCGAAGTTTGCTTTGTCAATCTGACAATCTCCCCTCTAAATCATCCATACCTGGGATTATCTTGATAATTTAAAGGGGAACTAGCGCACAAATAAAAGGCAAAGCTGCGATCTTCATCGTAGTCTGATAACAGCCAATCTGTCGATTATTTTACTGTGAAGACTGAATGCATTTCAAACCTATTTCTTTGGCTTCAGGCACAGACCACTTCATCATGTCTAACAAGTTAATGACCAGAAGCTTTCTTTTTTTTAATTTCTTCTCAGACAATATATTTCCAGAGGTTGCTGGAGAAAGTATAGCCCATCGCAAGCAGAGATATGAAAACTTTAAAAAGTGTTGGGAATCTATTAAATGTGAAATTGAGGTGCCAGTGATGTGTGTTATATTGTGGTGTTTACAATATTCCAGACCTTGTATTCTGCTAATGTGTTAAGGAAAGAGAGGCATGAAAAGCAGGAACGGCTTAGAAAGCAGAAGGAATTTTTACATCCGGAATTAAATGACATATTAAACAATGAACGAAATGAAATTTTCATGACTACTTGTTGCTGTATCATCTTAGGTTCTGCAGTCACAGATGAACAGTAAAATATTTTCTGACCTCGTGGAATTTTTCAAGAGAGCACAGAATGTAAAATCATCAGAAATTGGGAGGACCAGTGTCGTACAAGAAATACCTACAGCTGCTCTGATAACTGGTAAAGAGAATACAAGTCTTGTTTGTCGGGTGTGCTATTATGGCAAACCTTACAAATTAAGTTGAACTGTGTAATTTCTAATTTCAGGTGTAAATATGCCAGACCATGATGTTGTATTCTCTCAGTTAGCCAGTGAATTAAACAGTCATGTTACTCCATTTGTTGCTTTACTGAGGTCCAAAGACTGCACAGGTTTGCTTTTTATTCCATCTTTCCTTTCTGCCTAAATTTCAGAGATATTATTTGTCTTTGATACAACTTGAGTGTGGAAGGAATAATTTCAAATGACACCAGGATGTAATTTTTAAAGAGAATTTTATTGTAAGGTTTTTAAAATTTTGTTCCAAACTAACTTAAGAATTTTTATTTAACATTGAACAATTTTTGGGGTTAAAAAAGCTTGTTATTTTGTTGTAGATTAGGTTCCTTGCTTATTCTCTTAGACAAGAACTTATATCAATGGATTTCAACATTGGCTATTATTCTCTTTTGCTTAAAAGTCAAATTTGTGCTTTATAGCGATGAAAGCAACGATGAAGAATGTAATATCACAGTTCTTTAGTTTTGATGTACAGGTAAGCTTTACCACATCATCTGTTTTATATTAAATATTATAATGATGTGAATATATTGATCATCAAGTATTTGCCATAGGCTTAAATGGACAAATCTGTAGTTCAATGCCTGGTTTACCACTAACAGAGAAATCAGAGAGTTTGGTAAAAGTGTGGTTGAAGGACTTCTAAATTGACCTGCAATTGTTATTTATTTCAAGGATGAGGATGATTTGTCTCCTTCAGAACAAGCCCAGAAATTAAGCAGTTTTACAATGCCTGTACTTTGCCGCTGGTATGGGAAAATGATCAAGGTTTATTTACACACTTGTTTATGTGGTTTTTATTTGCAAGTCTGACTTATGCTTATCAATTTTTCCAGGTTACTTTTCCAAAAGATTGTCATCATGAGTGCAACATTTTTGTCTCCTCTGTGAAAATTGCACTCTTGACACTAACGACCCTGTCTGGAGAAAACCAAACACATGGTCATAGGCTGTAACAGGAAAATAGAAAGCAAAGTAGCTCTGTGTCAATTTTTAACCATGATGTGAACTATGTCAATTGTTTAAAATATCTTGGAATTTTAATATCATCTGATTTTACTCGGACTAATCACATCGAATACATTGAAGGGAAAATTAACCAAAGGCTTGGTCTACTTAGGCGTATTGAGCATTTATTACCATTTAGGGTGCTCAATTCTTTATACATGTAAGTCTTGTCATGCCTTTATCTGAGTATGCAGATCTAGATTGGATCGACTAGCGTAATTTAACTTTAGTGTCTAGCCTACAAGTTTTGCAAAATAAGGCAGCTAAAATCATTTTAGATCGTCCACTGTATTCATCTGCATTGCTTGTGTTGGTGACTCTGAAGTGGATATCATTATAGAAAATGCATTTCCAGCGAAGATGTGTGCTTGTATACAAATGGCTAAATGGACTTATAAACCATGAATTTACTTAAGTAACACAGCAACAGCAACATAATTACAACATAATAAATAAAGCCAATCTTAGACTCCCCAGTGTTAAAAGGAACTGGGGGAAACAAAGAACTGCGTATCATGCTGTAAATGACTTTAATTCACTTAGCCAGGTAATAAGAGAATCTGCCTACATTAATGCATTTAAGCGACATGTTTAACTTCCTAATACAATTCTTAGTTATAATTCCTTTTTTTCTTTTTATTATATTTTAGACTCGATCTTTGAGGTCCTTTTTGAAAACCATTTTTTTAAAAAAAGTTTCCTCAGTAAAGATCATTGTTTATCTTATTATCTGTTGCATTACAAAGGATGCAATCAAACCTTATACAGATTAACATAACCTAACTTAAGAGAGACACCATATTATATTACCCAGTATGTAGGACTGCAGACTAAGGTGAATTGTGTATAATGACAGGGTTGAACTGTTTGTGTTTCAGTACAATTATTCAAAAAGAAGACAGAGCAGACAGCAATCACAGTATTCAGGTGAACCATGGTTACTTTTCATCATTTTCAGTTTATATATTTATAGTAACAGTTTTTTGTTATTCTTATTATTTTCTGACTGCCATGTTCCCTTTTTCAGATCAACCCCCTTTGGTTGTCATTTTTGAGGACTTTGAGGGTTTTCTTCCAGCTGTTGTTCAAAACTTTGTGATGATTTGCAGGTATAAGCTGCTGTCTGTCATTAAAAGCTGTTTGTTTTACCTTCTCTTCTCAGAGGAAAAAATTGTTTTCATTTAAAAAGCTAGAGGCTAAAAATTGAACATGTCAAACTTACAGATGATTATTTTCTATGATTCTAATTCCTTCTACTTTACAGTCAATACTTGAGTGAACTTCCTTTGGTCCTAGTCTTTGGTATTGCCACAGCGCTGACAACTGTTCACAAAGTTTTGCCCCATGCTGTATCTAGTTTGTTGTCCATTGAGAGATTTCAGTCAGAACCATCACATGTTTGTGTTCTGGAGGTCATAAGCAAGGTGAGCCTTAAATGGAAAGTGTTCTTAGTGTTCAGTAACAATAATGTTTTACAGTTATAATGATGTTTTTTCTATGAACTGCTTTTCATAGGTTTTGATGACTGCCACATTTCCATTCAAACTTAGTGCACAAGTGTTAAGATTACTGTATGAGAATTTTCTATTCCATGATTTCTCACTTCAGAACTTTTCCAGAGGACTTCAGGTATTGTTAAAATCTAAAACTTGAAATTTTGAGCCTTTAAAACAAAACAAGTTTCATTTCAATCTCTCTTAGGGCTAGCATTTAAAGCTGGCAGTTTTGTGTGTTTTCATAGTGTTAGTAGTGGAGCGTGAAAATTAGTAGTGAAGCTGTGAAAGGTTTCACACAGTAAATGTCAGGCATGATGTGATACTTTCCTATTTGGGTTTTAAGTTGAGTTTTGTTGTTTCTATCTTTTCAGTTCTGTTTGATGGAGCATTTTTTTGAGAGTCCTCTGAGTGTGCTCTGTTGTGTGTCATCAGATGACAGGAAAGATTTGCTGAATGAAATGAGTCATAAACAAGTGGAAATGTTTAGAAAAACAATGTCTTTTCGCAGGTAAATTTTACAGTTTTTTCTGTCGACCATCTCTCACTTCAGTAGGTTTTGCAGGAGAACCTTTTATTTATGTGTGGGATCATGGGAGCATTTGCCAGATAATACTTGAAAACTGTATTTTATTCTTTTGAAGCTGGAAAGGAATGTAGGCTTCTTTCCACAACAGAGAAATTTCTGTTAAGGTTCAAATTCACTTTCAAAACAAAAATTTATTTTTTCTACATTTCTGATCCTGGCTTAATGCTCAGAAATTGACTGAAAGTTACTTTCATGAGTTCAATCCTTTCTTCTTGTTACAGATATGTTGAATCTGAGCCACCATCAAAGCAACTGCCATTGTTACTGGATGACTCCTTTGCCAAGGTTAGTTTGTTGATCTAGGAGTCATATTTAATGAAGTTTGAATGATTGTTGGCTGTTTGATGTCATACACTAAACCCATCTTCCACCATAAATTCTAATTTTAACAGGAAGCAATAGCTGAACTTTTAAAAAGCTTTCATGAGTACCACTGGAGTTTCTTCCCTGTGTTAAATTGTCTCCATATTCTCACCTGTAATCTTCCACAACATCCTCTGGGAAAGAAGGTTGTATAATTATGCATCTTAAGTCATAGGGTTTAATTTTTTTTACATGATATTACCACAAAGTTTTGTGCTCTATTCATTAATTGAATGTTTGATTTCTATTGACATTTTCAGCCTCACAATGTTTATGAAAACAGTTTGTCAAGTAATATTTATGAACAGGAAAAATATAAGGAGGCACTGTCCTTGCTCAGGTGTGACTATGTGTGTTAGGATATTTATTCAAGATAGAAGTCTTATGTCAAACTTTGTCAAAATTTTCTTCCATATGTTGAAAATATGGAAGTTCCCAAATTTTTTACAAAACAGTCAGGATCCTAAGTGTTGTAGGCACATTTCATCCCCAAGAACTCATGTTTTTGATCTGACATCTTGCCATTGTGACATGTGCGTTTGATATCTTTAAATGTTACAGTACTGAGCATGTGAATATAAAAGTGATCCTAACCATAATTAATATAACCCAAAGCCAAGACTACTTTTAGAAATTGTTTTCTTCAAACAAATTTTAGGACAAATTTGAATGAAAATAATCTCTAAACTCATTATTTTATGGGCAGCTGAGTTAGTCCAATCTATTAAATTTTCTTCTTTTGTATCCACAGAGTTTGTTCAAGGGATGAGCTTCTTCCTCTTCTTAATAAATGTGAAGAAATTTTAGGGAATGCTGTGGACTCTCCTGAAACAGGAAGGTGAGAAATGTTTTCCAATTTCAATTTAAGGTTGTCAACAATATTTCACCACTAACTGACTGTATGATTGTTTTGATTTAGGTATTGCCAAAAGCTCAAGAAATCAAGAGATGGTATTTGTAGATTGCTTGAACAATTTGACAAAATAAGCGGTAAATTAAGATGTTTGAATTATTTTTCAAATGCACTATGTGTGAACAGTTGTGTAATGAATATCGAAAATATTGTTTATCATTGCTGGTTGTTCACAGGAATCCAAGAGACTTGGGAAAAAAGGTCCACTCAAAAGGAAGCACTATCCACTGTTACCAACAGATTTGAACTTCAAGAGGTACAAATAAAGAGGAAAACAAATTTTTGTCCCTTCATAACTCTCATTGTTCTCATTCTGGCATGGTATTCAAAATACTCTTGAATTTATGATTTTTTTACTCAATGACAGAGACTAATGAGTGCTGCAAAACAAAAGAAGAAAGAATCCCCATATGATAACTTGCGAAAGAAAACAATTGATGCTATGGATGAGATGTTCAGGTAACACAAATTAGATTTCAATCTGCCCATTTTTGTACACCAGTTACTGAGCTTCAATAGGAGTAAACCTGTCATTTTTTTTTTAGTCAGTGATAATATACAAACACACGTGGCAAGGAACAAAAGGTGTTTGGTTTCAATTTCATGGGGCACTGAACTCTTTTAGGATTGGTTAATGTTCAGCCAGACAAGCTTCTCAGGAGGAAAATTATTGTAATGTTGAAATTTTTATCCCTTTTTAATTTTCTCAACAGAACATTTTTGACCTGTCCACAAAACATGCCTCTGCATGAGGTCATTTATTATGACAAATTACAGGAAACAAGAAAGGTTTGCAAGCAGTCATTTGTGTTTATACATGTTATTAAACAAAGTCTGTAGGGATGAAAACTGCGTCCAAGGTCTGGAATATGGTCCTTAGGCCAAGGTCATTTAACAACCTCTTAATTTTTTTCTGCAGGTTTGCTTTTATCTGCTTAGCTGCAATTGACACAGAAAGAATTTTAGACTGTGGTACCTGTTGTGAAAAACTGGGCTTGTTACAATAATATTTTACTTATCAAATTCTAGGATTTAAGATTCCTTCCCACCAAGATGTACTAGAAAAAAATAAGTACTGGTATTGTCCTGTTGCAATGAGGTTTACAAATGAGTGTGGTCATAAGAGAAGTTACCATCAGCCATCAACATGATTTTCCTTGCGTTATTATTAACTTAAATTATCCACGATGCTTATAAACAGCCAAATGGATTGTGCTGTGATGGTTGGGGTAGTTTTTTTATGGTAACTAATAAAGTCATTCTGTTTGATCTGGGATAATTTTATTATGAAATTGTGGTTTCAATGGCCAGTCATGATCTTCCTTGATTGTTTGCCCTGGTTTTTTTGCATTTTAGCACTTGGTTGGAATGCCTCGTGTAGCTATACAAATAGCCTTAAGTAACCCTCGGCATTACCTTCAAGTGAGTACTGCTCTTAATACATAAATTTTATTTTCTGGGTGGGGAGTTAAGGTTAGAAAAAATCTGCATCCAAAGCTTTGAGAAGGCTGAAGACCTCATGCTGTTCTCAAGACTGAGAACACAGCTTTTTTCCCATGTGGACCAAACTGGAACAGTCAGTAACTTTTGTTCACTTTTGAATGGTCTCCTTTTTTCCACGTAACATTGAAAAAATCCTGTAATGTAGTGTGTCTTTTAAAAAAGCTGAAAAAACATTTCCAAATGCATGATTAGCCAATCACATCTGGTCTGCTTAGATGTTTCAGAAAATATTAAAACATAATACTACATCATAGGATCATGACTTTTCTTAACAAAACTCCTAGGAAATTTAACTCCAAAAAGTGTATTGGCTAGATGAAAAAGAGAATTATGAAATATCTAGTGATATTTTTCCTCAATTCCAGTGTGACTGTTGTCAGACTGACATAGGGACAGTTCAGGACACCTTACCTGACGTGTGCATTGCTTATAAACTTCACTTGGAGTGTGGCAGACTAATCAATCTTTATGACTGGTTCCAGGTTGGTGGCCTTTTTTAGCCTTGTTCTAGCAATTTTTGTTTTTGCTTTGAAGGTTCTCTAAAAATTATGGGTGCTGCTCTCTCTAATCCTTGGTTGACTTCTGAAAAAAAATCTAATGTTCTCTTTAGCCTTTGATGTAAGGAGATATGCTGGAAGGTAATTGTCCACTTGATTCTCTCAGTCCTCTTTTCCAGACATTTCCAAACATCTGCGAGTTTGCACAGATTTGAATTTTTTCTCTGCAGATGTTAACTTCTTGGTCCACAGGTTTTACTCATTCCTAGGATTCCTTTTTTTTAGGCATTTACAGCTGTTTTGGAACCTCAAATAGAACATCAGTCCCTAAAATGTTCTCCAAAGAAGAAACAGAAAATGGATGAACAGCTACAGTATCCTTGTATTTAGAGTGGATGAATGAAAATGTTCACCTTTAGACTGATATGAAATGGCTGATTCCGAGTTATTCTGACAGTTTCGCAGGTCAGCTAGTTTTTCAGTTAGTAAAGTGCCTCCATTAGTCAGTCAGTCAATCAGTTGGCCAGTCTGTTGGTCTGTTAGTCCATTGATAAGTTGATGAGTGGGTCTGTCAGTCATTGCATCAGTCAGTTTATCAGTTAATCAGTGTGTAGCATTTTTTATTTTAGAACCTAAGAGTTACTAATACCTTAACTCTGTTGTAGTGCTCGTTTCATTCAAGCTGTTTCCGAACTTCAATTTCTTGGATTCATCAAATCAACTCGACAGAAAACTGATCATGTACAGAGACTCACTTGGGGAGCATTTTGATATAAAAGTTATCCTTCACATCTGGTCATTTTTCAACAGTAACAACAGTAACTGTCTTGTTGATCTAGAAAGAACTGTGATGGAAGAACTGGGTTTTCAAGAAAATATAAAAGTTGCATTTTGTTTTTGTGGGAAATACATGATTAACAATTCTCACGTCGCTCTCCAGTCAAGTATAAATAGCTACTGGGAATTTGTTACAGTTAACCTAACAAATGCTGGTGGGTTTCCCACAATGAGCTAGTAGCATAGACATGCTTATCCTCATTCCATGTTAGAGCAACCAGGGAGAAGCAATGACCAGCTATAATGGGCAGTTAGCTCTGTCAATATAAAAAGAACCTGGTTGACATGGAATTCAACTTGTTTTTCCTTAATGTAAATCACATAAAATTTGACTGTTATATCTGTTGTTTCAAATCGTTTTCAATGGTAGTTGGAAATTTCAAGTTTCACCTGACACCTCATGAAATACAACTTCTGTTTAATTTTTTATTTATCTGCTTCATAATGTTAATACCAGATATAGGTTCTGGTATTTTAGATTGGTTGGGTCCTCATAACATTTAACATGTTTTTGAAGGTCAAAGTATTCTCAGAGTAATTCAATGGTGAAGTTCTTGCTAAAAAATATTTAGTCTTTTTGTGTACGAAGGTTGTTAAAAGTTATGCAAAAAATAATTAGAGATATTGAGATAATGTGAATTGGCCACTGTAAACAGCTTCTAAGCTGGTGTTTCAGTGCAAATGGACATTGGGTTCATGCTCAGACAAAGGGTTAACACTCAAAACATCAGCTTAGAAACTCTTAACAATGGTGGATTTGACAAAACCAACTTATCCTGTTATACTTTCTCACTGATGCAGCACCACAGTTTCTTTACAATACACATTGTATGTACAGCAAGGCTTGGGCAGAATTTTCAGAATGTGTTGAATGGCTAATTGATTTCAACTTTTTTAGCCAGCTCTGAACTTTAGCTTTTTCTTTCAACTTTTTTTTTATTCTGTTAACAATCATTGTATTGTATAAAGAATACTTTGCACACCTTTTGTAGAAAGCTTGAATGACGTTCTTGAAACAGCAGAATGATAAAATAACCAGTGAAAAGTATGTTTACTAAGTTTCTCTTGAACATGAAAATTGTACAGAGTAATATGAACATATAAAATACCATGAAAATATTATTATTTAATTAATCTTATACCATAGCTTTTATAAATGACTTTCTCAACAACAAAAAATAATCATGGATCCTGGTCTATCAAAAAAAGTCATTTTTGAAATTGACATGTTATAGATGTAATCAAGAAGTCTCAGTATTTTCTATTCTACAATTAATATAACCAGCATAATGGATTTTCTCCCAGATAAGAGTGCTACTCAATAAAGGTTTTCCAGGACACTGCAGGTACCATTTATAAAGCAAACTTATTAGCTTGCATATTGTATTTATCCTAATTTGATTTTTTTCTGTTTGCTTTCTGTTGAAGATCTTTGATCAGATTTTTCCTGAAAAATAACATGGATTTGAGTCTATTAGTCTTACATCTAGGCAGTTCAGAAAGGCACAAAACACCAGAACATAAATTAATCTTCCCAATTGGCACTCTTTATCCCCACCATATCTAAGAGCACTTTTCATCAACTAATTTATTCTTGTTTTTTCAACACCACATTCCCACCAATAGTGTAGCTCCATTTTCTGCATGTAAACCCACACACAACCCACAATTGCTCTGACAAAGGGCTAACACTGGAAAGTCAGCTTTTTTACTCTTTACGGTGGCCAATTTATGTTTTCAACTCAGTTGTTAACACTAAATTGCCTGCTCTACTCTCCCACCCACACAGCACCACAGTTTCTTTAGAGTACCAGTGTAAGTTATATCCAAATGTTCTAATTATTTACTACCTGAATATGAAAAGTCCCAGCATGGAGTCCATCTGCTATTAAATCATAGAGTTTGATTGCTTTCTCGTGAGTTGTTGTCAAGCTTTGTTTTACACCTTGAAATTGTACAAAATTATATAATATAGTTAATCATCTCTTTCAACAAAGTTGTTTTGAATTCACATTGGCCTTAAGTCAGATGGTGAAATAAATTTAAAATAATCCAGACCTCCACTTTGATGTAATTTTTAATTAGTACACTATAGTTGTATACAAGTAGACTTCATCACCTCCATTGCCTTCAAATGCCTTTTGCACAGCGTCTATGTGGTTTTCAAAGTTGTCAAGCTGAAAGCAAAATAATTCAAATATACCAAGACAATAATAAGTTCAGAGTCTGAAACTCACCAGTAACACTCTGTAAACCATCAAAAGATGTCCAGAATTTAAGACTGGTTATGTAAGTTTCAACAACTTGTTCAGTAGCAGTACCTGTTCTTGAGCACTGTCCAAATCTTTAACTTCCTGTCTCAAAGCTGCATTCACATACTTTGCCTTAAAGACGAGAAGGTATAATATGAACAGGTTACATAATAATTCTTTTAAAAACAAATGAATAGTTAATGTTGATAGACACGCAATGAAAAGGGGCTATGCCTTACTGCTTTGATTTTTCTTTCAAGTTCTTTAAGCTCTTCATCAATCTGCTTTTCATCCTCTACTGTACATTGGTGTTTGTGATGTACCTGTGACAAATGGCCACAATTATGCCCAGTTAACCTTTACTGAATGTTTACTCCTTAAGTGGGATATTCCCTATTTAACATGACTGTTGAGTATTGAACTCTAGATCCAGTTGTTGAGTTCCTGGGCCTGATTAGGAAAGCTCTGTGATATTCTAAGGTGAGACAATTTTAATTTTCAGTGGTACAAGTGAGTAACCTGTAGCTGTTAGAGAAACTACCACAGGGTCACCAGTGATTTCTTACCCTCCTCTCACATTTAGCAGCAATACTCATTGTCATTTTATGCTGCAGAAGCTGGATAATATATTTCTAAACAATTACCAAAACATCTAAAAAACAATCAGTAAAAACTCCACCAAACAGATACATGGTAAATAACCATCACACATAGAATCCTCAAAATGCTGCTCTAACAAAAAAAAAAAACTCTTCCAATCCCATGTGCCATAAATGTAACTTGTTATCTGCTTGCCAGCTTACAAATTTGAGAAATGTCAAAGCATGTATGAGGCCAGTTTTTTATGCATCCCATTAATCTGATATTACTATCAACAATGGAATAAACTTCAACATTAACCCCCAACCTCAGTACTCCTGAAACTTTATCTACCTGTCACATCACCATGGTTGTCATATATAAAGAAAATTAATAAGTAGAGAGCCACAGATTTGTATGTTATGTTGTTGGTGAGTTTCATTTTAACCTTTATATTTGGCACCAAGGAGAGAAATAAAAAACAAATAAAAAACAATCATTAAGCATCAAAATCAATACAGCAATATTGAATGATTTATAGCCTGTTCATATGAAAATTAACTGGCAAAATATTAAAGGATTTTCTAACCTTGTCTTCTGGTAAAAGAATATTGGCAGGAATTTTGAAGATGTTATTTTTTACATAAACCTGGAGAATCATAAATTGTATGAATAAAATCATCATCAATCATCAACATCCTCCATGAGTTTGAAATGTTAACATACAACACAGATTGCCAGAGTGGAATCAAATATTAATATTCTTGACTTGCCCACGACATAAGAGTCTCTATTATTATTACCTCAAATCTGTCAAAAGCTGCATCAATACTTTTATAAAAACCTTTGATCATTTTCTCGCTCTCCTGAAATGAGTAAAAAGGTGTAATGAGGTACAGTCATCAACTTGTAGCAATTCACTAAGTGATTTAACAAAATCAGAAATGAAAGTGAAGCTGGCCTGACCCTGTGAAGCGTTTCCTCTGATACATCACATGACACTGAGGGCTAAATGGAAATAAAAGGCCATAAGAAAACCCACAATAATTAGTTTTGTACTGGGTTTTTTGCTGTACTGTGGAAGTTTCTTAATATTTCAGGCAGTAAAATGACTGTACTTCTCTCACCTCACTTTTGATAACATTTTCCAACTCTTGAATGCAGTCACCAACATAGTCGTTCACAGCATTGTAAACTGTCAAATTAATGAGTAAGGAACAAAACAGCGATCGCAAATCAACCTCACAAGATTTTTGTTCATTATGAATCACTGACATGTCGAGTTTAAAATGGCGTTTGTGCAATGCGACATTTAACTACCTCCATCTACGAAAGATTCAGGGGTAAACCCGAAGAACTGAGTTTCGTAATCGTATTCTGTGCCCTTTTTACCAAAATCAATCTCCATTTTCTTCTTATGTGTTTCACATTTAACCGCGTAAAGTCAAAACACATAACATTCCCCTCAACAAAGATTTTAGTTTGATAAAAGAATTCCCGCCAGAATGGTAGACAAATATTCCTCAGTGGGGTGGAGTGAAAAGGTATCTTTGATATCTTATCAAAGCCAAATTTTCTCGACAAATGAATAGATATTTTATGGTAAGGATCAATTTCCATATTTTAATTTAATTTGCCGAAATTAAACAGCTTTCATACAATTTACCAAATAACTATTTATCTTACCAGAATCAGCCACCCTCCTATCCTAGGTTGATTTTTCTCGCGTTCACTAGGAAACTGGCACTAGTGTATAATTCCTTGGTTTGTTTGTTCTTTACAACGGTCAGATGTTGCTTTGAAACTGACTTTCCTTACTTTTGTTTAGGTAATTACCTCCCAAGATCGATCACTGATCCCCATTATTTAGGTAAGATAGCTTTAACATGAGTTGACTATATCCATGGAAGGTAGCTAAGAGATGCAATCGATGCTTTAACTTGCAACTCGTACTGAGTTCTTCCAAAATTCATCTTCCCTATTAATCTCTGATGATCATCGAAGAATCACTTTTCGATCCTAAAATAACTCTGTATAATGTTGATTGTCGCTATATCATGATGAAAGGGAGCCTTACTTCATGATTTTCAGGCTTTACCTTCTTTTATCAAGGATGATGTAATTTTTTTCAAGGTCACAATTCCGATCGACATATCTTAGAATTACAGAGTAAAGGACTTGAATTTAAGTCTAATTTCAGTGAAGAACTGCGGGATCGTGTGGTTTGCCTGGAACGAGGAGGCCATCAAAACTTATTAATCTAGAAGTAGACAAAGCAAGAAATTGTTAGTTCATAGGTTCTTGTGGGAACAAATAATTTTTCTCAAATTTGCTTGTCACTGTGACCTTTTACGAGCTAGTATATTCAATTTGTACCGGTAGGATTACTACTGAAAAGTGGTCATGTGCAATCAGAGGCTGTAGTGGTTGAGAAGCAGTTGAAACTGAAGCAGTTGATCAGTAAGATATTGAAAAGAAAGCAATGGTTTGTAGAGCAGCTTTTCATTACTAAATTATTCCTTTGCAGATCTTTCTTTGGTTCACCAATCCTCTTTTCTATAATGGAATACAGTCCTCAGTCCACAGCATCGTCTATTCCATTTGACTCCACCACAACACTCACCATGTCAATGGCAGATGAGCTTAAATCTCAACACAGGCAACTATTTAATCCTGTCACACCTGACGTTTCACCACCCGCACAGATTAGTAATGGGGGATTCCCTATAAGGGGTAAAGAAACAGGGGTGAGATGAAAGAATTCACATATTCACATCTATTGTTGCTTCTCTGTAGTTGTGCAAACTGTAGCTCTACTCTTAGCTTAAGCTTAACAGATATATTATCCATCTTTTTGGATCTATTATTTGTTTTCTTTGGTTTTATTCTACCTGAATGGCAGGGTGAAAATAGATGAGGTGACCCTCAAACTCCCCACTCCTTTGATTTCTTTTCTCTCTTCCATTTACTGTTTCTCAGTCAGTGTTAGAGGTAAGCAATATGACAAATGCAGATATTCAGGAAATGGAGCAAGTGAGAGAACACCTGCAACTGATGCTGCAGAACTGTAAAGGATTCACAGATCAAAGTGATTATGAACAAACTCCAAGAACAACTACAGGTGACTAATTTACTATAAACACCTCTGCCCTCTTTTAAGCTGTGCATTCCATTCCTCTCACCTGCTGAAGACAAAGGAGCTTGGCAGAGAATCAATTCAAGTAATTCCATATGAGTGACAAACCCATAATTGGCCAGTCTTAACCTAGTGGCAACTTCTGTGTAATAATAATCATTCACAAGAACTTTGAGTCTATATCTGTCATCAAAGTGTTATTTTACTTAACTCTGACTACCTCCATTAAAACAATTGTTTTTCTTTGTTGTAGACTGTGAAACACAAGAAAATGAAGGGGACAAAGAGTCTACTATAAGTGTGGAAACAACATCCTTGTTGCAGAGACTTCTTCCAAATTCTTCCCCTCTCTCTGAAATTCAGGTAAAATGTGTGTCAACTGGATTTCAAAGAATTTTTTCTTCTGCCTTTTGTACAAGCTTAACATTAGAGTTACTTTCAAACTTGAAGATTCTAAATGCTTTTAGTGTATTTGTAATCAATGATTAAATATAATTATTGATGTATAATGGATTATGAAATATTGCTCTTGTGATAGGTTCATTTTCAAACTCCTGAGCAAGGCGCATTATCTCATGATCAACATACCAGGCAGATGGTGTCATTTGCCAGTGACAGAAGGTTAAATGCAATTCCTACCAGTAAAGTCACCAATGAGAAAACACTTCTGTCTGAAAATTCCCTGCTTAGAGATCAGGTGGAGAAAGAGAGGTTTAGGAGAAAGGTTTGTACCAGCACAGTACACTGAATGATGTAATATTTGTGCTACAGAGATGCAGTTAGATTAAGATGTGTCAGGTTTAGCTACTTTACATTATCTATCACTTTTTTATAAGTGATGATGCTAGCAAGTAGCAAACTAGAAATTGTCAAATGTTGATCATCTCTCTTTGGTAGGGCTGTCCTTTTTACCTCTATCATGAAATAAGTAATTTTATACTTGTTGCTTCTTTTCAGCACTGTGAACAACAAATACAGGAACTTCATAGGAAGGTAAGGGTGCTATTAATTATGAGACAAATGATTCAAAATCTGTTTAAAGGCTTATTACACTCACATGTCAATGGAATCAAATAATGGGAAAGGCTGGATGATATTTTTGTCCAGTCACTTGCCAAACACTAATATCTGTTTTGAGCAAAGGCTAAAACAACCAAAGTCCCCATAAATGTTTTTGGTAATAATCCCTACAATAAAAGAACTGAGGTCTGTGTGTTATGTTTCCAAAGAACTCTAACTCATTTTGAAGCCATGTGTAGAGATTCAACATGAATATATTTTACAGTAAAGTGTTTAATTAATGATTCTTTGCTCACAGCTACTGGAAGCTCAGCAGCAGCTGGCTGTTGCAGTGTCTGCTGAGAGAAAAAAAGATGCTATGATTGAACAACTTGACAAGGTTTGTGTAAAGTAAAGCCTCTGTACAGGCTCAAGTGGCCCATGGGGCTGGCGCTTAACTCTGGTTTCATTAGCATGAAGCAGCTTGGAGTATTGCTACTCCCCCCTGGATGGGATGCTAGTCCATCGCAGGGTTACCCCCAGCATATTTGCTGGTACCCATTTGTACACCTGGGTGAAGAGAAGCACTGTGAGAGTAAAGTGTCTTGCCTAAGAACACAAGACAATGACCCCAGCCAGGGCTCGAACCCGGACCACTCAATCTGTAGTCGAGCGCACTAACCATGAGGCCACCGTGCCTCCCTCAACCTTGACAAGGTTTGTAACTGTCCTTTTTTACATCATTCATAATCATCTGCAGTTATATGACAGATTAACTGATCGATAATAGTATCGTGAGTTTATTAATTTCTGAGAGTGGTGAAAAATTAAAATAAACTGGCACAAAGTTGAAGAAACTAGCTTGGTATAACACAGATCCTTAAAACCAATAAAATATGTTGTGTTTGTGATCATGTTGTGAATTGAACTGCATTTTTTAAGGGGTGAGCACTTTTTTCTTTAGTGATATCATTGTTCTGCTGCAGACTTTAGCTAAAGTTGTGGATGGCTGGAAAAAACATGAAAGTGAGAAGGTAGCCATTATCAACCAACTGAAAATAGAACAGGAAACTGCAGAGCAGTCTCAGCAAAGACAACAGGAGGTGAAAATTTTTTTATGTTGACAGACATCATTGGAAACTTAGGGTTATTTCTACATGCTTTTCAAATTCTATAAAATGATTAAATTCCAGATGTTGCTCCAGTTTGAGAAAGAGCTGGCACAAGCTGTGGAGGCTTTGACTAAAGAACAGGAAAAAGCAGCTCAGGCTGAAAGAGAAAAACAATCACAGGTTGTCATTTGTAGAGCAGCTGTCATGTTGTTTTCTTGTTTTTTAAACTTATAAAAATGTGTCAACACCTAGAAATTATTATGCTGCATGATATGTCTTCTTGCCAAGTGACCCATACTTAACACCTCAGACTCTTCTGAGAAAGCCTTGAAGATATTAGATGAGCATAAAATACTGAGTTAATCACATACGTGCAGATCTATGTGCACAGTGTCATAGGCGTTTCTTGGTGCTGCTTAGTGGAATTTTTCTTCCCCAAAACCATTCTTCATATGCCAAGTCAACTTAGGTTAAGAACAAATTTCAGCTCAAGCAACAAAAGGAGGAAAGAAACAAGTTACTAGAATGCCTGTCAAATGAAAAAGAAGCTGTGTCACGAATGGAACAGGAGAAAATTCAACTCAGAAAAGAAAAAGAAGAAGCTGAAGAGAAATATGTTCAGACAGATGAGGCTTTGAAGGAGGTAAGAAATGAATGGATTTCAAAACATGTTGTTGGCCTATAAATATTAAGAATATTAGAACTCAAGAGGCAGTTTTGACTCTTTCATTCTCAGGATTCCAAGGAGTAACCTAACAATTGTTAACCAAAATATCAGCACTATGATAATCAGAGAAGTGATGAAAGAAAACCATTGACGAGGGAATTTTGTTTGATGTAGCATTCACCAAATTCTCAACAAAGTCATTGTCAGAAATATATAATAGACAATAAGAAGAGATGATGCTGGGGTTGAAATAATAGTTAAAAGTTGGTGACAATTCATTTTTTTTGTTTAGCACAAAAGAATCCTTGAAGAACTTCAATCAAAATTCAGCAGCCTGGAAGCAGAACATAATGATTCAATGGCCATGGAGAAGGTTCTATAAAATTTTATCTAGTACATGTATGGTAGATCTTCAAGTTGTTAGATGTTTTCAATACTAAGCATATTATATCTGCATTTATAC